TGGGATTGCTGGGCAGGTTTCTTCTGGAGGGTCCCATCTCTCTGGAGTAGCTGCAGTGGAGTTGAGGGCAGGTTCTCCGGTGAGGTAGGAATGTACAGGAACTCCGCCCTCTGGGCACAGTCGCACAAACCCAGCAAAACAGCCACAGCCAGCCCTAAAACCTCTAATGATCTTCACCTTCACCTCTTTCTAACCCAGTTCTCCGCCACTTTTTGATCCATTTACCCAGGCACCTTCACCACGGGGCGGGTAGGGGGGGGCTGTTCAAAACAAGAACATTTCAGTGCACAAAACAGCCGAGAAGCTACTACAGATATTAGTGCATGGAGAGACCCCTCTGTAGGGCTGTGTGTGTCTATATGTATGTATACATATTTATTGTTGAATCTGTAGTCGTGGAATATGTATGCGCATATACGCTCTTGGGCGGGTATATTATTCGCAGATACACAATTAAGTACATATCAGTGCCTATCTACAGGCAGGGTTTTTTTTCTTCCTTCCTAAGGGAAAATACGAACAATTAAATAATAAAATCACTGCTAAAACAGTGAGTCTTACTGGATGTTCTTTCTTAAGCAAAACTCTGATGTGGTTCAACCAAAACGTAACTGGCGTTCAGTGGGAGTTTCGCTTGAGTGAACAGTGAATACGTGGTGATTGAGCCCTCATATTAACACAAGTGGTGAGGGGGTGTGTACCTGAATCATAATTTCTGACATAAATCTTAATAATCATCAGAAGAAGTTATAAAGAGCAAAATGACGTCCTGGTTAAACTATTTTTTCAAGCACCGGATTTAAAAAAAAAAAAATATAACTCCCCTAAACAGTAGGTTTGTGCCATTTAAGGCAAAATATATTATTGTTCACTTTCTTTTAAACCCTTTTGTAAGAATACATTCCACAGAACGGATGGTATTTTACTGAAACAAAAGAAAAATATTTAAAATATCTCAAAAATTGGTTGACTAAATATCCCATTGTGAATTCGAGTTACAGTTTATTATCCCTCAAACATGTTTGCGAAGGCAATCTTAAAATTGTAATTGGAGGTTTCTTGATGAGCAGATTTCTTCGCCTACGCTCCTTGCGAGCAAAGTTAATCACCTCAAACATCAGCTAGGAAAATAACAATAGCTCCTTAATTCCATAAAGACCACCCGTCCCCTATAAACACTCTAAATTAGGAAACACTAAAGAAACGACGCTAAGACATCGCAACATTCTAGAAATGTGCATATTTTTAAAAACCAAAATCCTAAAAGCTTAGTTGAGGGTTTGACTCTATGGAAACAAGTATCAGGTAACAGAATTACTGCCTGCTTTTTTTTAAAAAAAAAAAAAACAAAAAAAAAACAAAAAAAAAAACCACCAAACAGCCAAAAACCCCAAACCCACCACCTCACATTCAGTACGGAACGAGCCTGTGCACAGATTAACCTAAATGACATCCTCAGCGAACAAAAGGGTTTCTCTACCCGGGGAGCAGGCAAAGGTAGAGGCATATTTGGGGCCTTGGCAGTCCTGATACAATCCATGACATCTTTAGCGTTTCTTTTCCTTTATAAAGACAGTCTCATTGCTGGTATTATGTGTATGGAAACGTGAAAAAATTACCAGCTCAACAACCACCCCTTCCCCCAGTGTAAGAGAAAGTCTGTGGCACCTGAACTGCTTAGGCAGCACTTTGCTACACTGAACCTAAAGGAGCGCATTGAGAGCGAGTACTTGCTTAAATGAAGGCTGGAGAGACACATCAGGGCTACCCTTTTCAGGAATTATTATGCATCACGCTTACCTAATTAATGCTTATTAGCCAACCCCCAACTCTGACATGGTGAGATTGTGCTTTCCTCTAACCTGACTTATTTTACCTCCTTTTTGTACACTGTCAGAGGATTTTTTTACCTTACGAACTAAATAATACTTTAAGTATGTGCGATTGGATTTCCAACAGTATACAACCAATTGCAAGTGGTAAATAATAAATAATTTCCTTTGTCAGCTGCAGCAGACGCCATTCTTTTCATTCGCTTAGGCGCAAGTATGCAGAATGGGGTCTCGAGGTTTCAAGAGTTTAAATCACACCTATTTAATTTTATTATTTCTGATAGGTTTGTTGCAAAGGATTTTTGGTTTTTAGTTTTTTGCGATCACTTCTGTTAATGACAATAGAGTGAGGAATATGGGGGAGGGCAGACGCTTCCAAGTGGTGGTATCATCTCTTCATCCCCAAACAAAGCAATCTTTTTCTCATAGTGATGATTAATTTTGAATTGCAGAAGTGAGAGTGAAAGCCAAGAATATCAGACATTTCTCTCCTTCTCCCCCACAAAGTGCAGAGCTGGGTGTCCCATCTCTCATCCGTAACCTTTCACTCCTCTCTCATTCCTGCAGATCTCCTCGCATCTGTTTATTTATTACTTATTTTTGGAATATTTCCCCTCCATCCCCTTAATCTTTTAGCATGACAAATATTCTGTTTGTAAGAATTCAGATTTGTTATTGCTTCTTAATTCACCGCCCCGGGCATTTTTTTTCTCTTTTTCTTTTTCTTCCTCTTTTCTGTCTTTCTAAGATCAGGTCTTTGAAGTGTTTGCGATAACATCTCCGAGCTACAGATTATTTTTCATTGGGCCTATTGTGAGCAGTCGCCGGCTTATTGCAGTGCTGCAGAGCCCAGTTTAGTCTACACAAACGTAACAAATGAACAACTTGTCCTCTGTGGACTCACCGCAGGATCCAATTAGTTCCTAAACCTTTTGCACAAGTTTTCTAATTATTTTCAAGAGTTGCGGCTTTCATAGGCTTCCCTAAACTCATCGTGAAACCGATTCTTTCTGGGATTAAATGCTTCTTAAAATTAGTCGTACCGTTGCCCCCTTGAAACTAATGGATTGATTCTCCGGGCAACGGAGCACACTTGGGTTGGGGACGCTCGCGTGGGTTAGTGGGCTCCAGCAAGCCTTCCCATCAGCTGGCAGAGAGTGAAAAAGAGCCCCGTTCCAAAACTTTAAATTTAAGTGCATCCACACAGGTTTACTTTTGTTGTTGGGGTTTGGTTGTTGGGGTTGGTTTTTCTGGGGGTGGGTTGTTTTTTTTTTTTTGTGGGTTTTGTTTTTTTTTTTTTTCCCTAAAACCTTTAAACATCGGTATGCAAGCCAGGACGTCACGTGACAACTCACCCCCTCCACCCTCCCTCTGCCTCCCTGCAATGTCCTGCAACTTCACCTCACCCCTGCTCGGCTCCTGCCCCGGCCGGAGGGCCAGAGGAGCACAGGAGAGAGGTTCTAGCTGAAAACTATCTCTGCTTTTACAATATTTAAAGCCAAAGTGTTTGCAGCATTAAAAGTATAGAAATACATATAGTATAGATACTTCCGGAACAGTGTTCCTTTAAGATAAGGATTGCGTTTTATACACATACATATCACAGCTTGCTAATTTGATCAAATTATTATATGAAAGCCAATATGTATATGTATATACACACACATATAAATCCATGGTTAATAGATCTCCAACTACCATAAGGTCGAAGTTAATACGTTTCAGAAGAATAATGCTTTGAATGCATTTCAGAAATTGAAAGAAAAACATGTATCTGTGTAATAATGCACCTTGTTTTTTCTCCTGATGTGTGTATATATACTTAAACTTATATGTATGTATATATATGTCTATACATGGGTACGCAATTTTAAGCATCTTCAACGTAGGACAGTTTTTAGTAAGAAACCCTACCTCGCACTAACAATTTTTAAGCAGACTTGGTAAGAGTTCTGCCCCAAAACGGACATCACAATAGTAGCCCTGCTGTTTAATTAAATACCCTGACCCTTTACATTTGAAAATACTGCTGTTAAAGACAATATGGGGGGGCGGGGGGAGAAAGGAGCATTTGAAAAATGGTGGACTGCTGTAATAAGCAGCGCTCTGATCTCCCTGTAACAGTAAAGCCTCTGGCATACTAACTTTAGTTAATAAAAGAGACAAAAAAACTATCCAGTATATATGAATTTAGCCTATTTTTTATTTCTGTGTGTTCATAGTAAACATTTTTGTAAGTGACAAACACGGGCATATGACCACAGTATCACAATCAAGAAATTTTAAGACGACATTAACAATCACTCAAATTTATGCGGCATTTGCGCAACACAGGTTACATATTTGCAAGGTTTACCTATAAGTACAATAGGTATTAACATTTCACTACATTTAGAAAAAAAAATAAAGGTGACCTGTTAGTGACCACATACATCAAAATATACACAACACAAACTGAAGGCAATCATTAATTTTGTCCCCTTCTGATTCATTTGAACGGGCAGTGCTGCAAACTGAAATAATGTTGCTGTTTTTTTAAATTACTCCGAACACTGAGTGCATTTTCTAAAACCCAATCTTTGGTCTAAAAGTAAACAAACAAGCAAACAAACAAACAAAAAAAAAAGGAACCCAAAAAAAGGCAGTTCAGTAAAGAAAAGGATAAAATAATAAATGGCCAAAATGTAGTTCATGGGCATCTTTCGGTATTAATTTTGCTTAAATACAAATTACGTTTTAAGTTTTTTATAGTTTTCATAAATTTAGTGGTGGTTAATTTTTTTTTTTCTTTCAAGGTCTGCACCCACCGACATATCCATGATAACTTATAATACTGCAAACATGGAGAATCTGGCGGCTTTAGTGATAGACTTATCATATTTGAATAAAAAATTGCAAAAGCAGTCACTATTTAGATACACATTCTACTATAATTTTGTCTTCCAAACTTCATAGTCTACAATGTAATCTCCCCACATTGCACCTTGCTGACACTCCTCACCTTGGTGGAATAATAAACAACCCTAAAGACTGAACAAACGCACAGAAAATGGGGGACTTAATAAAAAATACCTGGACTTTTTTGTTTTGCTTTTTTTTCTCCTTTTAATTATCATTTACAATGCAAACGTGTGTAAAATGTTCACTTACAGTCTGATCCCATGGATGTTAATGTATTAAAGGGTTTGAAGAAGACCCCTGATTTTGATGTGTGAAATAATCAGAAAGTCCTCCGGAAAGTCCTGTTGTAAAACTTGGCAAAGAAGGTCTTAAGGACTCACAGGGGAGAGTGGAGGGCGCCTGCGGCGACGTGGAGGAGGAGGCTGCCCTGGCCGTCATTGAAGTGCTGCTTTGAGAAGTCATTGAAGGATGAGGAACATGGGGGAAAAAGTAACTCGTCTGTCCTGCTAGGAGGTTTACAGAGCAGGGGTTTAGGGAATAGGTGCCGGAGCAGGGAACTGACAAGGGGGCCGGGAGCAGGAAACGGACAAGCCACAGGGCACTGAGGCGGCCAGAGCTGCTGCTGTGAGGTGATGAGTGGCATAAGGTATCTCTCCATTGACTAGTCTATCAACACTTAACCCATTAGACGTGGAAAAGGAGTGGTTGTTTCCCAAGGAGTTTTGAGTCAACACTGAGCTGTAGGGCATGGGGTGGCTGGGGTAGGCGGACGTGGTCCCGTTGTAACTCAAAGTGCTGCTGGCCCGGGGGTGGTGCAGGGAGAGGCCAGTACAAGGATCCTGCCCTGTCCATGAACGTCAGCCCTGTGGAAGTGAGCCGGGCGCCCCGCTTGAAGGCCAGCTTGGCCCGGGAGGTGGTGGAGCGCCGGCGGAGCTTGCCGGTGGTGCCCCCGATGAAGACGTCGTCGCTGGAGGGGTCCAGCATCCAGTCCAGTAGTTCCCTTTGCCCGGGTCGTCGTAGTGGCGGGGCACCTTGACGAAGCACTTATTGAGGGAGAGGTTGTGGCGGATGGAGTTCTGCCAGCCCTGCTTGTTCTC